TGTAGATAATTCCAATTTTTTTGGTAACTAAATTTTGACATTACTACCTTTATTATTATCGAAATTTTAAATTATCCTTATTTAGATAAATAATTTTTTTATTATTTCTAATATAATATTTATATAAATTATTTACTTAGTGATTTCTTTATTTAGATTTGTCCAAATTTTGATGTTTCCATTTTCCTTAAAATTCTTGACCGGTATAAATCATTGAAACGCATTGTAGATAAAAAAAAACGAAAAATTAAAAAAAAAATTTGATCAAAAAAAAAATTTAACATGGGTTGACCACACTTGTAAATAATTACCTAAAATAGTATTAGAAGAAGTATCTAACTTCTTAACAATTTATAAATACAAAATTTTCTGTTGATTTCTGTAACCGTGAATTAACATTGCTATTACTTTACAGAATAGATATGTAAACGTAAATCGATTTGTACCGTCAGTAGATTCAAAATCAAAAACTCCATTCCTAAGTATTCCAATCGTTGTCCAAGCTCAGTCAGGAATTAAAGTACCTCATATTATCGGCTACAATAGCGACGAAGCAATTATTTTGCTCGCAGGTAATTATAAATAAATTAAAAATCATACAGTTTAAAACAAATTCACTAGTTTTTCATTTATACCCATAATTCAAGGCTTGCAAGAAGTTGATTATTCTGAAATCAACACAAATGAAGATATGCTTCTTCCTTCAAACGAAAAAAAATTTTTACAAGCAAGAAATGTTTCTGTAAGCGATGTAAAAAAATTCTTCATGGGAGACAAAGAAATTAGTCAGAAAAACGATCAACTATTCCTCAATTTAGCCAGTGCTAGCTCTTTCGATATTAATATACACGATATAGTTGCTATTCAAGCTAAATTATCTGGTATTCCGACGTATTTCTATAAATTCGATCACTACTCTAAAGAAACTGCAGTCGTGCAGCAACTGGTTGGCACAGACTTAGAAGGTGTGATTAATTGTATAATTGTTTTGTTTTATCCAAAGATAATATTAATATTTTATATTATTTATCAGGTACATCACTTACTGAAGATTTATATTACTTTTGGTATCAAAAAGTATTGGATGATCGTAAAATCAAACAACCAACTTCTTTTCCAATTGAACATCTCATCCAGCAGAGATTTTTTGAACTTTGGATTAATTTTGCAAAAACGGGGTATTTACACAATTCAATAAAAATTTTTCTCATCAATGCATTGATGTATGAATAATTTTATGGTTTGATTGCAGAAATCCAAATTCTGAAATTTCAGACCTAATTCCTGTAGAGTGGAAACCTGTTGATAATGCGACAATATTCAATTGCTTGAAAATATCTGAAGATTTAAGTTTGATAAAAGACTTGAACATACTGTATCAACTAGAAAAATTTGCTCAACATGAAAATTAATGCGTTTCAATACACAATCGTGATTTTAATGAATTTTTTTGTATACTAACTATAAAAAAAATGTATAGAAAATTTTTCAAAGTGCTTTTCAAAACAATTTTTTTAGTTTTGAGTGTTAATGTTTTTAGGTAGATTTCATAAAATCTATCTATTGCATTGGCCCTTGAGTCAAAATTCACACAGAATTTCGTTACTATATCAATTATTTAGTCGAGTAAGGCTTAAAAATGACGTTGGTTTGGAAGTTTATATATATATATATATATATATATATATATATGTAATATAACGCACAGCTTGTGGACACGATAACTCCCACAATTCTTAATGAATCTTTATGAAACTTGGTAGACTTATTCTATAGACAATTAGCTTGGATGAGTTTAAAAATGAGCTGAATCCATCAAATAGTTTAGAAATGGCAGCCGTTTAAAATTTTTGAAAATCTAATAAATCACTGTATTTTAAAATTTGCCAGCCGATTTACTTTTCTGATAAACTTGAGGAATAATAATTATTCATAATATCGTAATTAAAATCATGGATTACATGAAATCTACCTTCCATCTTGGCTGGTGCCAAATGGCCTTTTATTTTTAAAGGTGATAGCCAATGTGAAGACCAAAAAAATAGGTGATTTTCGAGAATTTTTTTTAACTGGAAAAATAAAGAAATTTGAAGATCAGGTTTTTTTGTTCTATTAAATATATATTGAAGATAATTATCCCGAATTTTTATTGAGAAATATCAAATCATTATAAAATTATTAACATTCTTATTGTCAAGTCCGAAAAAAAATTCCCCCTTCATCGTCGCATCGTTTTCTCGAAAATTACATTATAATTTGTATGAATATGGTTATCATTGCACCTAGCCAATTCTTTTTATTTTGATTTGAAAAAAATGTCTTATTTTTCTTTGGATTCAAACAGCCTTAAAAAATCTTAATAATCAAAATTTTAAAAGTCGCCTAAGTGCAACCTCAGCTACTATAAATACGAATAAAACAAAGAAAAAATTTGAAGTTCGATTAATACTTGTTTGAGTTATTGATGCGACTAGTTTGAAAAAAGTCGTTTTGAGAAAAACGCATTTAAAGTTTTTAGTCTATTTTACTTTATGTTACTCTAAAGTTATGTATCTCATGAAATATTAATTAATGGTTTACATTTAATTAAGCTACACTGAGAAAAAAAAAATTCTTTTATTAAGAAAACTTTCTTGATACAAGAATTTATGTTCTTGAAAATTTTCAAGAATATATTTTCTTAGTTCAAAAAATTGTTAAATTGATTGAAATAATTTTTACTTAATTTAAATAAAGCTATTTTTTTGTTTATCTATTATCCGAAGATATATATTGATGCTCTTCAGAGATTAATAATTAATAATAATAGAATATTTGATTGTCAGCGAGTTTTTTGAACCAAGAAATCGTTAATTGAGTAAAAGTATTTTTTTTTTTTCAGTGTATCGAGTCCTGGAACATATGAGGGTTCTTCCTTCTTAACTCCAATGGTATCCTAATTTTTTTAATCTTTTTATTGACTATTTCAAATCTAATACTAAAGTGACCATAACTTCCAAAATTTTCGAAGTTTTTTAATTAAAAATTTTATGTATATTTCTGAATTCATACTTTAATTTAAATAAATTTTTTTTTTGATTCGTCACAGTGGCTATCCCCCTTTTATTGAAGTCGTATAAAATCGTGAAATTTTCTATACTTTTAAGTTTGACCTTGAATAACTCACTAAAATGTGGATTTTTTGAAAATAAATAAGACAATATTTTTGAAAAGCCTATTACTAAATTTTAAAAACCTATTAGTAATTGAAAGACAAGAGTAATATAGTAAATTTTCTAAAAAAAAACTAGTTTTAAATGTAATTCTGCAAATTATGAGATTGTAATAAATTTTAATGACAATAAGATACATACCGTATCTATTTATTTACTTTCAATTTCCAATTATCTGTCATTATATATTCATTTTTTTTTCTTTTTATTTACTGAACGCATTAGCATAGAAGTTATTTATGGTATGACGACACTTTGTTTAATTGATCGGCTTCTCATATTCCAGCCGGAGATTATTATTTGTCTATGAGTAATCGACAACACGTGTAGTGAATATAACGAGAGAAGGGAGAGTAAATTATCGCGATTTCTATAATAACCGATAATAACCGATAGTGTCTTTTATCAATAAATAGTGCATTAGATCGTGGAGGAATAAAAGTTGTCATCATTAGCGTCGCGAAATGATTGAAAATACATTAAGAGTCATGCTCTGTGTAGTATTAATTACTTTCTTAACACAAACAGTTTTATCCAGTGATTTGCCTACCAATAATTCATCAACTCGACCGATAGTAGATTTAGAACTGGGTCAATTGCAAGGTATTCAAGAAACTAACGTCGATGGAAAAAGTAATTTTTACGCGTTTCGAGGGATTCCGTTTGCAAAATCTACAGCTGGAGAGCTAAGATTCAAGGTTCGTATAATTTTACGCTCTATTTAGTTTATCTGCATAATTAATTAATACTTATTGCTATTTTCTTGATATTATAAAAGGACCCGGAACCAGCTGAAGCGTGGTCTGGTGTACGAGATGCGAGTAAACATGGAAATACATGTCCGCAAAAAGATTTTCTTGTGGGGAAAGTGATCGGAGGCGAAGATTGTTTGAATTTGAACGTCTATACAAGAGATTTGAATCCTGAAGAACCACTTGCTGTGCTTGTCTGGATCCATGGCGGTGCTTTTATTTTTGGATCGGGAAACGATGATATCTACGGTCCAGATTATTTTATGAATAAGGACATTATTTTAGTGACAATAAATTATCGTTTGGGAATGTTAGGTAATTTTAACATTTTATGATAATTGATAATAAAAAAAAATCAATTATTCGCATCTTTTGCTTTTTGATAAGATTAAAATTTAAAGAATGGTTTGACTTTTCAGGCAGGATAATTTTTGTATCATAAAATTTGATAAAATGAACAAAAATAATTTTAATTTCAACTTAATAAAGTTTGAAAATATTCAAAAATAATACTGTTTAATAATTAATTTAAGAAACAAATTAAAAAAAATTTTTTTAATATATTTGTATTTGTAAATTAATTACCAATAATTATTGTATGCTATAGGTTTTTTAAATTTGGACGATGAAGAAGCAACTGGCAATCAAGGTTTGAAAGATCAAGTTATGGCTTTAAAATGGGTGAAACAAAACATTAAAAAATTTGGTGGTGACCCGAACAAAGTAACTATTTTTGGCGAAAGCGCAGGCGCTGCTTGTGTTCATTATTTAACAATTTCTCCGTTAGCAGAAGGTTACTACTTTTATGTCTTGTCTACACAATAAAAAATTTTTTTAAGATAAATCGTTCGTTTAAAATAATTAATCATTTTTTTTATGTTTACTTAGGATTATTTCAAAAAGCTATCATCCAAAGCGGTGTTGCTTCAAATCCATGGGCCAGTGTAGGTTATCCTATGAAAGAAGAAGCTACAAATATAGCTGAGAACTTAGGAAGAAATATTACCGACAACAAAGAACTTATTGAATTTTTAAGAAACGTTGATTTAGTCAGTCTAGTCGGGGCGGAACAAAAATTTTTTTCTCCGACATCGATGGTAAGAAATTTGTAGACTGAAAATAAGTATGCATAAGTACTAGAAAATTTACAAAATAGTATATTTTGCAACAATTGCGACAAGTTGTGATTGCCCACGAAAGCGAAGTTGAACGCACGAGCGAAGCGAGTCCCTAAAAACGAATAAAAAGTTAAAAAAAAAAAAGAAACAAATATATATCAGATAATAAATGTAAAGTAATTAATATTAATTAACAAGAAATAAATTTAGACATTTGAAACAATCAACACATAAAATTAAATGACATTAAATTTATCTGTCACTACAATTTTTTAATTTTCTTTAACAAACAAATTTGTTCCAAGAAATTATTCATAAAAAATTGCATTTTTTATTTTATAAAATTCCTACATGTCAATTTTAAAAAAAATTTTTTTGTTATAATTCATTTTTTTAAATTATTAAAATTATCAAATTTCTGCTAAATTAATTTTCATCACAATTAAACAGCTTAATATTAATTAATTATTTTTACTTCTTCAATATTGACAGTTAGATTTTTTTTTTGTTATTTTTTTTAATTTTAGCAGTTTTCACAGACAATATTGCGTGCGACAAGGATAGTTTGAGTGCGCCAAGAATAATTTGCTTGCGACAAGTAAACTTGTCGCACTCAAATAACAGTTTCATTTACACAGTAAAAAATTTTGCGTCATTGCGTCAAAAAATTTTGTGTTAAAAATTTTTATGTTAAATATTTAACACTTTTTTGTGTTAATTTAACATTTTTCTGTGTTAATTTAACACAATTAATGTTAAATTTGCACATAAAAGTGTTAAATATTTAACACAAAATTTTTTGACGCAATGACGCAAAATTTTTTACTGTGTATGAAAAAACTCATGCGTAATTTTAAAATGGGCAAACAGTTCTTTTCCAAGATTTTCAATATTTTAAAAAATTTCAGAATTTTTTGGATCTAAAACTTCGTTTTGTACCATCAGTTGATTCAAAATCTAAAAATCCGTTTCTAAGTATTCCAATAAAAGAAGCGGTTAAATCAGGTATCAAAGTCCCTCACATAATTGGCTATACCAGCAAGGAGGCGATTATTTTTGTAGCAGGTATTATATAAAGTTATAGATATTGATTAGTCATCTAGATTGTAAATTACACTTGAGTAAAAAAAAAGTAATATATGATAAATGGTAACTTATCAATTTTTTGTAATATAAAAATGAATATTCAGGTTTACGGGATGATCAATACGCAAAGCTAGAGGCTGAACGAGACACGTTCTTATTGCATCCTGAAGAAAAACAATTTTTGCAAGAGCGAAACGTATCTCTTGATGATATCACAAAATTTTTTATGGGTGACAAAAAATTCGTTTCTGAGAATATTCAGTCGTTTGTTGATGTAGTTTCAGCCAGATTATTTTTTATTAACATCCATGATATTATTAAAATTCAATCTTCGATTCCTGACGTGCAGACATATTTATATAAATTTGATTACTATTCAAATGAAACTACGGTGATGCAGAAACTGTTTGGTACCGATCTAGAAGGTATTGTTTTTGTAACGATTAATGATGGTTTGAGTTGAGTAAGATTTTTAATAAAATTAAATATTTTTCTTTTTTTTTAGGTACGGCACATGGAGAAGAACTGTTCTTTCTTTTCTATCCAAAATTAATGAAACTTTTAGGGTTTGAACCGATTGTTTCCGATTCAACAGAGAACATAATTAAACAGCGATTCATTGAACTATGGACAAACTTTGCTAAAAATGGGTTCGTTTTTTTGCAATTTTTTTCATTTCTTCATTCTTTTCAGTTATTGAAAATAAAACCTTTTTTTTTTACTTTATAAGTCAGTAATATAATAATTTAAAAAAAATTTTTTTCTACAGGGATCCAAATTCAGAACGATCAGAATTAATTTCCGTTAAATGGAAGCCAGTTGATGATCATCAAGAATACAATTGTTTAGAAGTATCTGAAGATCTTAGCATGATTAAAGAGACTAATATTTTAGATAAAATACAACAAAATAAGAGCCAAAATTAGTGATTTTATAAGAATCAAAAATATATTTACTGAAAAAATTTTTTTGCACAAGAAAATTATCAAGAATATATTTTCTGTTCTGAAAAATTGATCAAATTTATTGAAATAATTGTTATTTATTCCAAATAAAACATTCTACATTATTCAAGTAAAATTTTATACCTATTTTTTATCAATTTTGTAATTGATTTTTATCAATTACAAAATAACGTACAGCTTGACTAATATTATTATTATAATTCTGTTTGATAATTACTTACACCGCTAGATGCATGACTAAGAGCGATATCTATTATTTTATGTTTTTTATTTATTTAAAAGTTATCAACTAAAAAAAAATATTTTTGATTAAATATAATTGCAATTACTATCAAATAATTATTCCTGTTGGGTTTTTTTTATTTTTAATAAACAATAAAAAATTAAGTAAGGTTTTTTTCTTCTCGCATGTGGTTGTTAATAGGATGTTTTTAATGTATAGAATTTCCAAATTTTATGTCACCAACAGGATTGCTGAAGAAGTCGTAGCAGTAGTAGCAAAACATATTTGACTATTTTAATGAAGGCAGACATTGATATTATTTTGTCAAGAAATTAATAAATTAAATGATTTTCAATAAATTTTTAAGTCAAAAAATACTTCTCTAGACAATATTTATACATTTCTTCAATGGAATATTGTCAATGCTAAAATAAGCTTGAAGATATTGTTTTTCTTCAATTACTTGATTTTATAAGCATCATAATTTTTTTTACCTATCATATTTAATCATAAATTATTTATGTAATAAATTAATCGAATATTAAAATTCATTATTGGTTTATTAATGTCATTGAAATTGATATAAAACTATTGATTCAATATCTCGCATAACTATTTATTACTCTTATAAAATTTTTTTTGCATGATTAAATTTTTAAATAAAGAATATTGTATCGAACAAAGTTGAAGAAATTTTTTAAATTAAAAACAATGTAGTTCATTTGAAGTTAATATTCATACTTAACTTTTTTGTTGTCGCAGAAATTTCATCAAAAAATCAAACATGATGAATTTATTTTCAGTTTAAACCAACACGCATCAAACACTTATTGTGAATGATCGGCAAGGTCGATCGTTCCCAGAAGAAGTTTAACGATCAAATAAAAAAAAAAATGTTTATAAGCATATAATACTGTTTTTTATTGAATTTATTCATCAATTCTCAATTGCTAGGTTCTAAATGCACGCATCAATTATTTTTTTTTATTTTTCTACGTGGTAATACTTATGATGCAGTGGAAATATCCACTTGATAGACTCATTATGATACAAAAAGAAACGCAGATCTTATAATTATCCTGCAAATCATTGAAATGCGTATAATAAACGAAGAATAAATTAGTGGAATTTATATAAAAGCCAACACCTTGTACCGATTACGAATAGTGTGTCGTAGGCCTCAGGAAGTTGCGAAGAAATTTATCGAGACTGCATGTTGAAGATACAACTAACGATGGGGTGGAAATTGAGATATTTATACAACTTGATATTAATTAGTTTCGTTGTAAAAATCATAGAAAGTGCCAACTTGCCTGTTGATTCAGTGGATAGGCCGATTGTACAGGTTCAACAAGGCCAATTGCAAGGTATTCAAGAGAAGAATATCAATGGCAATAACTTTTATGTATTCCGTGGTATTCCGTACGCGAAACCACCCCTCGGGGCGTTGAGATTCAAAGACTCAGAACCAGCAGAGCCATGGACTGGTGTCAGAGATGCCAAAAAGTTTGGCAATGTGTGTGCGCAACAAGACCTTCTCTCGCGACAGTTAATGGGAAAGGAAGATTGTCTGTTTCTTAACGTCTACACAACGAATTTAAAGCCCAAGGAACCAATGGCTGTACTTGTTTGGATCCATGGAGGTGCTTATTTCTTCGGTTCAGGAAACGATGAAATTTATAGTCCGGACTATCTTATTGAGAAAGATGTCATTGTTGTTACCATAAATTACCGACTTGGAATTATAGGTAAATTTTTTATATTAAATGTAATTTTTTATTGATTATTTAATATTATCATGTAAAACACTCATTTTTTAAATAATTTTACATTAAATTTTTGTGAATTTGTGAGCTTGTAATTTTTTTTTGCACAACAATTTAAACTTCGTTGAGCAGTCATTGTATATTGTTATTTTTAGTCAAAGTCTAAATTTTTAATTTTATATTATTATAATTAAATTTACATGTTTAAAAATCTGAAACATTGCGACAGTAATATATACATTTATTTGAAACTATACTTGAAAAAAATGGTATTCCTTCACAGAAAAAAATTAATTCGAATCAAGTAAATAATTTTGAGGAACGTCATCTTGTTGATTTGAATAAAAAAATTCTTATTTTTCTTGGTTTAAGTTAATTTTACTCTATCTAATACAGTAAAACTCTTAAAAATTATTTTCTTGGTTCAAGAATTTTTCTATTTAATTTCAATTAACTTTTTCTTCAGTGTTAATACTGAATTCAATTAAAAATCCGGGTTTGAGAGAAAAAGTATAATTTTTAACGTAAAAATATTACTTATATACTTAATTATTAGAAAGAAAAACTTATTATTGAACTTTAAATTGATTTAAAATGAAAATTTACGATTAAACGTTAAAATAAAAAACAAAATAAAATTTGTGATGAAAAATTTTAGTTGCAATAAATTTTTCATTTCTTCAACTGATCATTGATATTAATAAAAATTTTTTGATTGAATTGAAAGTAAAAATTAATAAATTTCAGGTTTTCTGAACTTGGACGTTGAAGAAGCACCAGGTAATCAAGGATTGAAGGATCAAGTAATGGCATTGAAATGGGTACAACAAAATATTGCACAATTTGGTGGTGATCCAAATAAAGTTACAATTTTTGGTGAAAGCGCTGGTTCAGCTTCTGTTCATTACTTAACAATTTCTCCATTAGCTCAAGGTTAGATATAATTAATAAATTTATTCTATAATTTTTCATAAATAATAACTATTTTTTATTTTTTTAGGATTGTTTCAGCGAGCTATCTTACAATCTGGAGTAGCAACAGCTCCATGGGCAAAAGTATTGTCGCCTTCTATGAAAGAAGACGCAGAAAAAGTAGCCGAAAAACTTGGAAACAAAACTACTGATACTAAACAACTAATTGAGTATTTACAGAGTGCTGATGCATACAGTATAATCGAAGCTGAAAAACCTCTGAGGACTTGGTCGGTACGTAATAATTGTGCAATGTAATACATTAGTGTATTTATGGCTATAAGAAATTCAAAAATTCAGTTAGCAGAAAAATTTTCTAAAAAATATTTTATTTCTTAGCTATTTTTCTCTATTTTTAATTCATCAAAATTAAAAATTCTTATAATAAATTATCGAAAAAAAATATATCACATCTCTAATTAATTATCTAAATTATAATTCTAAACACTGAGAAAAAAACTTTCTTTCGAAAAAAAAAAATGGGCATTGTTGTGACAAAAAATTAATTTATTGACAATTTCCAAGAATTGTATTTTTTAGCTGAAGAAATCGAAATTTTTCTCACAGTAACTTTCATATTGAACAACAAGTTTATTTGATTCGGAAAAAAACTTTTGAATAGTAAACTTGTGAATTTTTATCTAAAATTGTTTTTACCCAAATCTAGAAAACTTTTTTTCTATAAGAAAGTTACTATGAGAAAAATTTTATTTCTTCAGTAAAGAATAAAATTTTTGAAAATCTTCAAAAAATTAATTTCTTATTAGAACACTGCTCATTTTTTTCAAAAGAAATTTTTTTCTTAGCTTTAGCTAAAAAATACTACTTTGCCTTGAATAAATTTTTCTTTGCTCTAATTTGTCATATTTTTATTAATACATAATTTTATTCATAGAATTATTGGGAATTTATAAATCCGTTCATTCCATCAGTAGACTCCAAATCAAAAACTCCATTTTTAAGTATTCCGGTAGACGAAGCAATTAAGTCTGGTATCAAAGTGCCCCATATCATCGGTTACACCAATGATGAAGCAATTATTTTCGTTACAGGTAAATTGTACAAGCTTTAAGCTAGTATTTGAATATATATTAATAAAAACTATAAAAATGAGAGATAATTCAATATTTTTAAAACGATAACTTTTTTTAATGTCTTTTAAAAATTTTTGTTTAGCTATTGAAGATGATCAATTCGCTCAAATAGATTCTGATCATGAAAAATTTTTGATACATGAACACACAAAGCGATTTCTCCATAACCAAAACATATCCGTGAGTGACATTAAAAACTTCTTCATGGAGGATAAGAAAGTCTCACTGGAAAATGTTAAAGAGTACGTAAATTTACTAAGTGCAGCATATTTTGTAATGGATATCCAGGAGGCAATTAAAATTCAAACTTCAATTCCTGACGTACCATCTTACCTTTATAAATTCGATTATTACGCAAAAGATACTTCGCTAGTACAAATAATTTTTGCATCTAGCATACCAGGTACTATCTCTAACAATCAACAATAAAAACAATATAATAATCGATAAATAATTATTGGAATTATTAATGATTATAGGTACAAGTCACGCTGAAGAATTGTTCTCCATTTTTTATCCTAGAATGTTAAGGTTCCTAGAATTGAGACCGCCGGCTCCTAATTCACCTCTACATTTGATCCAACGAAGATTTGTTGATTTGTGGACTAATTTCGCTAAGACTGGGTAGTTATATAATAAAAAATAATGATTAATTTTATATTTATAATCAGTTAATTGGTTAACAATGGTGATTTTATTGCAGAAATCCAAATTCAGAACGATCAGACGTATTGTCAGTTGAATGGATACCAGTTGATGATCCTAAAGAATACAATTGTTTAAAAATATCTGAAGATCTTAGTATGATTAAAGAGACCAATATTTTGCAAACAATGAAACAAAAGAAGAGCCACAATTAGTACTTTTAGTACTGTAAGAAACAAAAATACCACTTATTGAAAAAAGTTTTCTTGACAAAAAAACATATATTCTTGATAATTATCGAGAATATATTTTCTGCTCTGAAGAATTGATCGAATTTCTTCAAATAATTAT